ACTTGCTCCGTATTTGCTCAAGAGAGATTCTTATATATTTCCCAGGGGCTTTTCGCCTTCAACACGGAGTCGGAGATCGTTGAATGTAATAGTGTGTGTGAACTTCTCTCCAACGCAGAGAGCTTTTTTGTTTATTGTTGACTCAGTATTGTGCATGCCCGCCCAAATGTGCGAATCGTGTCGCGCAGTTTCCTCGACGATTGCCAGTTCAGATTTTCAAAACCGAGAAACGCGGATGGGGTGCAAGGATGCCTGTCGACCTGGTCCGAGGGCGAATTGTGGGACTGTATACTGGGTATGTTCTAATCCTTACGCTGTTGAAATCGAGTTAATGAGCATTCCACACAGGCTTTTAATGTGGCGTATTTAGGACGCATTGATTCGCCTTCGCATACTGACTGCTGGTTTCTAGTCGACGGGAAGAGGCCGACAAATTGTCCGGAAGCAGAGCCTCGTATTGCTTTGATCTGGATATTAATGAGGAGCCGGACGAAGATCCCCCAGAAAATTCGTATAGTGTGGACGCCTATGGGTGTGGTACGACTGCCTCCTCCTTCCCCGAACATAGTACTTACTTGGCGTTCATTTTTCTTTCAGGCAATTGGACTCGATTCATAAAGTATTGAACCAACATCCCGACTCCGTATTCTTGCTAATGCCAGTCCCCGCAGTCATTCCTGCAGTCCTAATCTGCAGATAATTTCGGTTGTGTACGATACCATGCCCGGGGTAAGTCATCTTCTCTCATCCCTTTGGAGAGCATTTATATATTCTATCCATTTAGGATAACATGCCTTACCTGGCGCTAGTGGCAACGGAAAATATTCCGGCCTATACAGAGCTCACTTTCGATTATAATCCTGCACACCAGACTGAATGGGAGCTCAAACGGTACAGAGAGAAGACGCGCTCCAAAAAGAATAAGAGCAAGAAGCAAACACGGTGTTTATGCGGCACAAGCAAGTGTAGAGGATGGTTGTCCGTGGTGGCGTAAAATCAATATTTGGTGTCCGCGATTCGCTTGTCAGATGCGTTGGTCGGTCCCTTTGTATCGGGTTTCATTATGGATGTGGACGGTGGTTCATGCAGTCGCACGTCAACGAATAGGCAACTGTTTTAGCAAAGCCGCAAAATCAATCTCCCTCTTACACGATTTGTGAAATGTTGTACAACGTACAACGTAGAATGGGGGAATTAATACAACTTCACCGGGACATTTGCATGTACACGGAAGCGACAAGAACACCCATCGAAAATCCAACCAGAAGATTCATCCCGCCCACGACGTCCACGGATCGACTAGCCGCTTTTTCATTGTCCGGTTTGTAGCTTGCGCTCCGAACTGGGAATGTTCCAGTCGTGAATGGGGCGCTCACTAGGCCGGTAAGTCCGTCGAGACTCTTCAAATTTCTTTTGATCCAGTAGCGCCTCAAGCCATCGACAAACCCTGAGTCCTCTGAGCCCTCCACGAGGCTCTCCTTTTTTACGGCCCATGCCAGAAGCCCAGTACGGTGGGCCTTGAAGTCGAAGAATGGAACCGCATAGCCGCAAGACTGGCAGTGGCGAATCAAACAGTGCAGCGAGGAGGGGAAGGAAAATAAACCCACTGTGCTGACCTTGTAGACGTCAACGACGATGACGGAGCGGGATCCTGGTTTACGAAATTCTGCGGGGATGAAGTTGTCATACTCGGGGGTGCCGAACTCGTAGACAGTGCCTATTAATTGAGTGTCAAGCCTGGCCTTTTTATATGAGACAATTACCTTGTCCATACAGCCTCGCGATACGGGGAGGTCCTTCAAATGCGTTGAACAACACTGTGATACGCCCGTTCTCGCGCAAGTGAGAGATGGTCTCAACGCCTTCAGGGAGAATTTTAAGGCACATTCAATACTGAGCTGAGTGGACGTACCGCTGCCAGTAAGGTCTTCGTACCACACTTGACGAGGATTCACAATATGGAACATTCCTGGTGTCTCCGATGAGCTAGCTAATCTCTTGAAAATATAAAGATTGTGGAGCGTGCCTTCACCGCCCTTGGGAGATACGTTAACGTGTCCATCGCAAGAAAGCGGGGCCGTTGCGACCCAGAAAACTTGCTGCTGGTCAATCCACTTGCCCAGGCTAGGTGATATCTCTTCGAAGAATTGGACCATGATGTGAGTACAATAGAGCCGAGAGACGACGACGGCCCAAACCAACTACCAAGACGGCATTATATATTAGGACCTATCGAAGTCACACGACCCAGATTTGAAAGGGAAGCCAACGTGGCGATTGGATATCGAGCCGCAGAAATAGCATGGAATACACACGGCGATGCGACTCCGCACGCTTCCCACGGTTTAAACCAGACGAGCAAGGGTGTATTAAATGTTGCACAGCAGATGCAGACGACGTACAGGGCGCGCGCTGGAGCAATGCATTTTCACACCCGTTCTGTATTCGTCAAGTCTGCTCCGGTAAAAGGTTAAAATCGAAACGACGTGTGTTTAAACAAGACGAGATTCTCGGTCGCCCACAACGTGAATGAACCTGGACGAGCGAGGTTATCCAAGCACAAATAAGGAAGAAGTTTAGTTAGTCCAGCACAGAACGCGAAACACGAATTACTCGCTTCAATGTTGGCGACGAGTGGAGGCTTTACGAGAAGAAGCGCAGGACATTGCTAGTGTATACGCCGCTGGGACATCCCGAATAGATGGGTGTGACACGCGTTTCAAGTTCCACCATCCGCTGGTCGAGGACATGTACAATTAAGCCGAAATCGACCACGGCTGCCCGGGCCCGAGTCCTCCTGTAAATACCAAGTTGGGGATGTCTCCGCCACTTTCGATCGCCTTCCTCACCGCGGCGATACCGTCGGCACCGGCCAAATATTCTGCGAGCAGTAAGTAGTTGGGCGGCAAAGTCTGTGACGTGACGACTGCTCGCAACCACTTCCGTTGCTCCATCGTAATCTTGGAACCTTTGACGAAGGAATCCACAGCTCCGGGGAACCAGACTTCGCAATAGCGGCCCCACCACGTATTGCTTAGGAGGGAAACGCAGACGAGGCTGGATGAGAGTTCACCCCACCTGCGAATGGTTTCGAAGTCATTCCCGTCTTCGTCATCAAGAGGACCAGCAGGAAAGCCCTCCAACACTTGGAGACTCATTAGATCAGGAAGAAGGGGGAGAGCGTTCTCGATGGAGGAAAAGAAATGCTGACGATTTGTGAGGAGGTGAAGAATGCGGTTATTTCTCAACTCACCTGCTCAGGCTTTTCTTCGCCAATGGTTACATTGCGGAACTGGAGCTTCTGGATCCCGGGCATATGTTCTTTGATAGCGGATATAAGTGCGCAATCCCATGTCCAAACTAAACTGATTAGCTCAACAATTTGAGCATTCGAGCGTACGAGGTTCGCGAGGCCGTCTGAGGGACTCATGTTCCGATTGTTTTCCCAAAAGATCGTCAGGTGGGAAGTCAACGAGCCTGGGACTACGGCGTACGCAAGGGTTGCGGGGCCGACGAAACGCTGCAGCTTGGACATGTGGATCGGCTGGATCGGTGTTGTGAATTCGAAGGCCGGGACACCTTCATAAACGACGCCGGAGACATCGATTCCCTCGAAGCAAGGAAAGATAAAGAGGGCCTGGATGGTCGCGTTTTTCTTCAAGAATGGAATGATTTCTTTTGAAGCCGGCATGGTACATTTCAAGAGTCGCGGGAACTGCATATTGCAGAGGACCTGGAAGATGGGAAGTGGAGAGACATTTAGAGTCTGGATATTTTTGAGTTTCCGGATCGCAGATTCAAATGTGCCATAGAAGCTCTTTAGAGGACGGCGCGGGCAACACGAACTGTACGTCAACGACTCCGTTAACAATTGAAGATATCCAGTTTTGACAACATACATGTCGAATTCGCGGACCGAATTAGCGGCCTCATCACGCGAGATGATCGTTTTGCAACACTTGACCACCTCAACAGGATGGTCCAGCGTTATGCTACGATAAATCCATTCCAAGCAAATGGCGTGCATCCGGCGACTCGTGCGGCAGAGAACCAGCAAACTTTGTGATTCAGTGCTTCCGGCGATTGCGTGGATTAGCTCGATCGGGAGCACAGAAAGGCTGGCTGCGTTTCTGGCCATGCGAATGTGTGGCGAAGGAAGAGTCGCGGAAAGGAAGTGATGCCATCACTTTTGAGATGCCGGCTGATGCAATATACACCGCCACAGCATAGCTTTAGTTGGACTTTTCAAACTTTTCATTTTCAACGGCACCATCCTGTCAATTTGCCTGGAAATTTCTCTCTAACAAATAAAAAAAATCAGAACCATCTTTTAGGAAAAGAAATCCAGATCCCTCTCCGGTAACATTCAAGAAATAGCTGCAGGTTCGCCATTGTATTCAGACACACGCCAGGTGTACTGGGTCCATTTATATTAAAAAAGAATTATATTTAATGACTGGATCAGACCAAGATATTTTTGAGCGTCCATTGTGCTAAATAATCAGCGGATGAATGCGACCGGGACAAAAAGAAACCTGGCGCTTGCGTTATGACCGAGTTTGGAGTCAAACCAAGGTCTTCCGCTGAAATCACTCTGGCTTGACTACTGCAGAGAACTCCGCGTGCCACCAAGGTCTCTTTCCCCTCGTTGCGCCCCTGTACAAGTGCAGATATTATCACGAGATAGAAAAAAGTATGCATACCACCACCCTTCTCTGGCCCAGCCTGGAGTCAAACCAGGGCATTCTGCTAAGGCGTTCATAGAGGACGATTAAAATTAAATCAGGTGCACACCGCCTGCTACTGGGCCTTGTTCTTCAAATTTGGCACTCGGATTCGACTAGGAGAAAATCAGTCGTCGGGTGTAAGCCGAAGCCAAAGTTAAAGCCAGGAATGTGGGGTGGGATCATTCAAAAGAGATTTGATCGAACAGTCTGACTGGTCGTTGACATTCAACTCAACCGGAAGACAAGAAGAAAAAAGACGGGGGAAACTATTCATGACCCAGCCTGGAGTCGAACCAGGAGTTTCTGCATTACAGATGGTGGGGACGTTTTTGTTAAAACATTGCAGGGCACACCGTGTGCTACTAGGTCTCTTGCTCTCAGTTCAGACCTAGTATAATCGAGAAAGTTATCAGCGTATGAATGCCACGGAGATGGCAGAAAAGGCTCCGGACGCTGCGCTATGACTGAGCTTGGAGTCGAGCCAAGGTCTTCTGCTGATATCACTCTGGCTGGACTACTGCGGAGAATGCCGCGTGCTAGTAGTACCAAGGTCTCTTTCCCCTCTTCGTGTCCCTGTACAAGCGTGCGAACATTATCGCGAGATAGAAAAAAGTATACAACACCTTCCATCGTATGGCTCAGCCTGGAGTCGAACCAGGTCCTTCTGCTAAGAAACTTGTTGCGTATGACAGCATTGGAAGCAGGCGCACACCGCGTGCTACTGGGCCTTCTTCTTCACTTTTGGCACTGGGATTAGGCTAGGAGAAAATCGAACGTCGAGTGTAAGAGGAGGCTAAAATTAAAGCGAGGACTATGGGGTCTGATTTATTTGAGAAAGAGGTGCTCGGAGGAGTTTGTTGTACAGTTAATAAATCAACCAGAAGACAAGAAAAAATGAGCGGAAATTAAATCATGACCTAGCCTGGAGTCGAACCAGGAGTCTCTGCATCAAATAGCACGATGTGGAACTTGGTAACACATTGCAGTGCACACTGTGTGCTATTAGGTCTCTTGCTTTCAGTTCAGACCTCGTATAATTGAGAAAATTATCAGCGTATGAATGCCACGGAGAGAGCAAAAAAGCTCGGGACGCTGCGCTATGACCGAGCTTGGAGTCGAACCAAAGTCTTCTGCTGGAAAGAGCAGGACCTTATTGGAACTGAAAGCAGATGCACGGCGCGTGCTACTGGGTCTCTTTCCCTGTACAAGCGCGCAAAATTAGCGCGAGATTGAGAAAAATATACCATGTTCCTATGGCTCAGCATGGAGTCGAACCAGGCCTTTCTGATATGACATTTCAAGCGAAATTTCCATATTCATATTGAAAGCAGGCGCATACCGCGTGCTACTGGGCCTTATTCATCAATTTTGGTGCTCGGATTGGGCCAGGAGAAAATTCATTTATGGGTGTAAGAGGAGGTGTAAGAATTCGCGAGCGCAAGAACCCATGACCCAGCCTGGAGTCAAACCAGGTCCTTCTGCTAACAGGTGTGCTTCGGACATCAAGATTATTGAAAGCAGTGCTACTGGGTCTCTTTCCAAGGTTGTTGCACTTGGATTAGACTGCGAATATCGAGCGTCGATTGTGAGTATGCAAGGAGAGAGGATCACATACGGGCGAAGTCGATTTATCTGAAATAAAATAGGGTTGAGTCTGCGACATCATGAAAGGAGTCGGGCGGACACGAGAAGAAGAAAATGATACAGATCCTAAGCGGCCGACGATCTAGCCTGGAATCCAACCAAGATACCTTCTGTCTATGTGGGAAGACGGTATGTAGCTCCCTCTGAAGGCAGATGCATGTCACATCCCATTGGGTCTGCTTCACGTCGTTTAATCCCTGTGTATTAAGTGTGCAAAAAGTAGCAAGAGGGTTATGTATGGCCCAACCTGGAGTCGAACCAGGTCCTGCCGCTGAATTCGTTTGTTCTTGTCACTCTTATTCAAAGCGGGTACACACCGCGTGCTACTGGGCCTTTTCCTTGAATTCTTATACTTGTATTCGAGCGAGACTTCTGTTGAGTTGGTGGACGCGCCCTATGTACTTAGATTCAGATGGTATGAGCTACTGGAACGGCGAATCAGAATGAACGAAATATGATTTTCTCACCGGAGAAAGAATTTTGGGACTTGGGAGCAAAAGACTGGAAAAGACATGCCGATTCGTCATGGCCTAGCTTGAATTTGAACCAGGAATTCCTGTGAGCCAAATCGTGTGGAATTGAGGAGATGGAAGCGTCCGAGTTTTGCAATACCGCTTCTCTATCCATCCAAAAATGCGTAAATGGTGAGGCGATGGTTGAAGCCGAGGTGGAGATAGTGGATAGTGTTTTGAGGAAGAGCGTCATATGCACGTGGGCCGCCTGGACGCGTAGCGTGCGAACTTTGATTCGCCGCACACCTTCCTCGCTCGTTGAATCGTTCTTCGTTCTGACTCCACGTCGCCGCAATCCTAATATGTGGAAGACACCTCACAAATGCACGAGCCGCCCCCACTGTTCGGTAAGTGGCAACACCTGTATTCGTCTCCGTTTGCTCACTGGCCTCAAACCAGCCGTCGTCATCAGGTTAAAACCTGTTAAAATGAACATGGATACCGAAATGAATATCTGCGACCTACGCATGCGTCACATAAAGCTTTTGGGGACGTCCGAATCGCAAATGAAATGACGGTCACACTGAATCTCCTATTCTGTGCCTCGGACAAGCACGCCCGTGACCTTGCCCATTTCTGAGCCCGCTGACCTGCAGAAGACCCATACCATCCCGATGTGCAGGGACAAGAAGAATATCACCATGTCGAGTAGAGTTCGCGACAGGCACATTCCAGCTCTCAGCGCGCCTTGCTACGCGTCAACCACTCCCTGCACGGCCCTTCCTCCGCGTCAGCCACTCCCCGCGCATTCCCCGCGCATTCCTCTACTACCTGCATCTCCTTCCCCACGTATTCCTCCGCGTCAGCCACTCCCCGCCTCCCTTTAAGCTGGACGTCAGCCACATCTCCCTCCCACGTATGCCTCTGCGCCAACCACCCGCGGCACTTTCCGACATCTCCCTCGTCAGCCTCGTTTTTCGTTTCTGGGCATCAGCCTCCTCGCGCCTGACTGCCCGCCTAGGAGCTGTAGATAAGGGCGCTGGACGTGGGCCGCATGAATGCATGCTACGAGGGCGGCACGAGAAATGGGCGGCTCAATTCCGCAGAAGCCGAGGCGGAGCAGAAGTCTGTCGATGGGCATAGACACGGCACGGAAGCCATTGGACACCGAAGAGCTCGAGGCTGAAGATCGGGCCATGGAATATCAGCTACCCGCCTCCTCGCCGCCCTGCGTCAGCTCGACGATTGTTTTGGTCGGGGATGCGTATTCGACGTATGCGGCGGCGGGGATCCCCGATTTTAGTGGGACCACCCCGGGCGACAGCAAGGGTGGTAAAGCCTGGAGTGCCGAAACAGTCCACGGAGTCACGGTGGCCCACTTGAATGGTGACTTTGGCGGAAGTTCTGAGAACCGCTGAAGCGTTGAAATTGTGTGACTGCATGCATTCAAGTTCCATTCAATTTTATCATTATGATCCTGTAGCTGAATTCGATGCACTTTCGTCTCAGATTTACCAACCTGACTGGCTCCACCCACTCGGCCTTCAAGATACGGAGATGGACTGTCAAAAGAACCACAAGCGTCTCACACCACATTCAAATCCATCACATATAAGTAAGTTCTCAGTAATTTGTCTATAAATATGAAATACAGATAACCAGACAAAAGAGGCCCTGCCAATCCACGGAGGCGGGGATAGGCTTTAAATTCGTTAACAGTTATAGTAACCCGGGTTCGAGCATCATACTTCAAGGCGGTGGCTATCTCCTCTCCTTGAACTCGACTCCCACTATGTCTGGCCCTGACGCGAAGCAGCTCGAAAATGCCCATGCGTTCTTTAAACATCTGAATGCTCTTGATTGGGCACCTCTGGCAGAGCTCGTGTCTCCCGAATTCAAGCACGAGTACTTCCCGGCGTCCGTAATCCCTCCAGACGGCAAGGAGACGAGAACGAGGGAGGAGTTTATGGGTGTCATGAAATATCACTTTTTGACGGTCTTTGAGAAACCAACGGTGAGGCTTTCGCTCTACACATCCCTTTTAATCTCTGGTCTTGACGACTCGGTACAGTTCCAGACACTGCTGGATGTGATCCACGGTACGAATGCAGTCGTATTCCATGTCGGTGTCATAGTTCTTCCACCGCCCAGCAGACTATTGACGAGCGTTACAGCTCAAGACAGACAGAGTGTCGAAGTCTGGAAAGAAGTACAACAACGAGTACATGATCACATTCCACTTCGACGACGACAGGATTATCGATTCGAAGTATTCCTCCGCCTATTTCACGGCTCTCAGAGCCGAGTGACATTATTTGCGACTCTCTTTTTGAAACAAGATGCTTACTTTGCTCTCAGGTCTGCTTGAGGTTGGTTCGATTGTTGGTCGACCGATGTAGCGTTGAACATATGGTTGCTTCCGTGTTAACACATCTTTCACCTCGAGCCGATGAAGTGTCTTCTTTCTCCCGCTTGCCCACTTTAGAACCTCTTCATAACCGCAACTGTGATTTTAGTTCAGTCCTATTCTGGAATCTTTTTTCCGTTTCGACAAAGTTATAGGTTAGACGGTGAATTGCCTTTTGTGTTAAATATCATCGTGAACTCACAGAATATCGTTAGGTCTGGACGAAACATCGTACAATGGTGAGAAGGGTTTTCGGGCCCCAACAAACTTGAAGGTCCGTGGTCCTCGGTAGTTTTCCTCAGGCTCAGCTCCCAGGACATGCCGTGAAGTCGCAAAGATGTATGGTATTTCTTATATCTTCATTGGAGCACTAAGCGATGAGCAAATTACTTGTACATTTTATAGCGAAGGGCCTACGACCACGACCATCCTCCGGCCCGCCTGTCCCGCCTCTATGAAAATAGTCAGCGGAACTTGGAGAATGCGACTAAGAAAAAAGCAGTGTTAAACGGACTAAGCTTGGAGTCGAACCAAGGTCTTCTGCTGGAATCTTTTTCCGGGCGTATTGAAGGCAGATGCACGCCGCGTGCTACTAGGTCTTTCTTCCCCTTGTTCAGGCCCCGCATAATCGCGCAAAATCAGCTGGAAACGCGAGATAGAAAAAGAAAGTCAAAGAGTTCCGCTTATGACCCAGCCTGGAGTCGAACCAAATTATTCTGCTGATATTTAGACCTGAGTGCGCACTTATTGAAAGCAGATGCACGCCGCGTGCTACTGGGTCTCGTTTCAATATTATTGTACCTGTATAAGGCTGCAGGGATCGGGTCGACCGTGGTACAAGACGTGGAAGAATGGTGTGGATCGAATAATAGCGAGGGAAGTCGCTATAGCTCAGGGAAAGAAATTAATGAATCTTTTAAAGCATAGGGAGACGGGTAGCAGGGATATACTCTCAAAAAAGACGTTTTCCATTCCAAACGACCTAGCCTGGAGTCGAACCAAGCTCTTCTGCTGATGCAAGATTGTATGGATATGGATGTTATCTAAAGCAGACGCACGCCGCGTGCTACTAGGTCTCTTTTCCCTCTGTCAATCCCGGTGTAAGCGCGCACATATTAGCGGGAGATAGAAAAAGACAGATTACGGAACACGCAGGTGCATGACCCACGAACCAGGTTACTCTTCTGTTTATATGACGGTTCGCTAAAGATGCACGCCGCGACGGCCGCGTGCTAGGAGGTCTCTTTTTCCTCGTTGTGTAAGGGCTCAAAATCAACAGGACATCGCGACATAGAAAAAGAAAGGACAATGCACGATTCAATTTATGACCCAGCCTAGAGTTGAACCAGGTCCTTCTGTAGATACAACCGCGAAATGCAAGTTCTATTGACAGCAGACGCATGCCGCGCGCTACTGGGTCTCCTTCCCCTCGTTCAGTGCCTGTGTAAGCACGGGAAAACGAGGGGAACCTGAAGAACAGAAGAAAGGTGTTACGAACATTTTCGGAGTCAAACTAGGTCCTTCCGCGGATATCCAACACCGTTCAAATGCTTAGCTGAAAGCAGATGCATGCTGCGTGCTACTAGGCCTCTTTCCCCTCGTTCAATCCCTATGTAGGTGTCAAACCGGCGGGAATGGCGAGATGGCAAAAAGGAAATCACCGTGGGCAAACATCCCATGACCTAGCCTGGAGTCGAACCAGGTCCTTCTGCCGATAAGTGTCCAATTCACAGCAGAGCTGAAAGAAGATCCACGCCGCGTGCTAATAGGCCTCTTTCCCCTCGTTCAGTCCCTATGTAGGTGTCAAAACCGAAGGGAATGGCGAGATGGCAGAAAAAAGAAGAAGGTATGTAACTACCCAACGCATGACCCAGCCTGGAATCGAACCAGGTCTTTCTGCTGATAGAGCATCGAAAACTACGATTGACAGCAGATGCACGCCGGGGCCTTTCATTTTCATATTTGATCCCTCCTTGAATAGGAAATGGCCTGAATGTTGAAGGGACGCGACACAGACCAAAAAAAACAGCCGAATCTATCATAAGTGGCCCAGCCTGGGGTCGAACCAAGTCAATCTGCTCAATGTAGAGGACAACATCGCATTCGCATTGAAGGCAGACGCACACCGCGTGCTACCGGGCCCACCTACCCTTGTTAAGTCCCTGAATAAGTGGCTGGATTATGAGCGTGGACATACGCTCGAGCTCAGACCAAAAAGCATCGACAGAGATAGTTCATGACCCAGCCTGGAATCGAACCAGCTCTTTCCGCTGAACACATTTTTCACAGACTGGGCGAATAAAATGCAGGTGCACGCCGCGTGCCACTGGGTCTCCTGCTTGAATTTAGTACTTGGATTCGAGCGAGATTTTTGTCGACTTGTCGGAGAGCCAGAAAACCGATTTTACGAACTACCGCGAATCCAGGGACTGCTGAGAATTAGAAAACCATGGAGGAAATTAGCGGCTATGACCAATGCTGCAGCCTGGAGCACTCGAGAATCGGTGGAAGTTGAGTCTGTCCGGCGCCTCCGAGTCGCAGTCGTGGGGCGTGAAGGTGGACGCGCCCGTCGACGGGTATGATTGGCTGGTCCAATCATCCAGTTCATTGATGTACATGGACACAGAAGAATCGCTGTAGCGGGTGGGAACCCGAAAGGCGGAGACAAGAAGTCGATGTGGTGATTGAGGAATAGGCGAGGCAGTTATGTGGGCGCGTAACGTGCGAACTTCGGTTGAAATCTTTCCCGTCTGAAGCGAGCAAGGCACTACTAGGTGTCTTGCCCTAAGTTTTGACCTTGTATAATTGAGACAGTGATCAGCGTATGAATGCGGCCGGGACAAAAAATGTTCGCGTTGCGATATGACCGAGCTTGCCAGAGTCGTTGAACCAAATTCTTCTGCTGATACAACTTGGGTTCTTGACTGAAAGCAGATCACGCCGCGTGCTACTAGGTCTTCCTTCCCTTCGTTGTGTTCCTGTATAAGCGTCCAAAAATCAGCGGGACCGCGGGAGATCGAAAAAAAAGGTCAAAGCAGAGTTCAACTTATGACCCAGTCTGGAATCGAGCTAGGCTCTTCTACCGGTACGAGTTGACCAGGACGTCCACTGACAGCAGATGCACGCACTGTAAGAATGCTGTAATTGGATTTGGCTGCGAGGATCGAGGACCGATTGTGGTACAAGACGTCCAAGAATGGCGTGGGTCGAGAAATACTAGCGAGCGAAGTCCCATAAAAATGGAAGTGTGAGTCTGCTGTTCGGGAAGTCAGGGCGCATTCTAGGGACAGGATGGAAGAAGAAGGGAAAAAAGTCCTTCATAACATCTCATGACCTAGTCTGGAATCGAACCAGGTTCTCCTGCTGGTATCAAGTAGCACGATGCACTGAAAGCAGATGCACACCGCGTGCTACTAGGTCTTTTCCTCCTCGTTCAGTACCTGTACAAGCAGGCAAAAATTAGCGGGACAGCGAGAGGTAGAAAAACAAAAGGCTACCATCGACAACAATGACTCAGCCTGGAATCGAACCAGGTCAATTCTGATGCCGAAAGGAAGCTTTAATTGAAGCAGATGCACGCCACGCACTACTATGTTTCTTTTCCCTCTTTTAGTCCCGGTATAAGCATGCAAAAATCAGCGGGAATCGCGAGATAGAGAAAAAAGTTGTATTCACTTTCATTCAAGACCTAGCCTGGAATCGAACCAGGTCCATCTGCTGATACGGCTACAGGACGACATTGTTGACAGCAGACGCACACCGCGTGCTACTCAGTCTCTTTCCTCTGGTTCAGTACTTGTATAAACGCGCAAAAATTAGCGGGAAAGGGAGAAGTAGAAAAACAAAAGTCTACTATCGACAGTGACCCAGCCTGGAATCGAACCAGGTCCTTCTGCTGATACAACGGCGGACGAGACGCAAATTGATAGCAGATGCACACCGCGTGCTACCAGGTCTCTTTCCCCTCTTTCAGTACCTGTATAAACGCGCATAAATCAGCGGGAGAGCGGGAGATAGATAGAAAAAGAAAGGTTACTCCATGCACCCGAATGCATGACCCAGCCTGGAATCGAACCAGGCCCTTCTGTTTACGCATGTGTTCATCCTAATTGAAAACAGATGCACGCCGCGTGCTACCAGGTCTCGTTCCCCTTGTTTGGTCCCTGTATAAACGCACATAAGTTAGCGGGAATCGCGAAGTAGAAAAATAATGGTTACTCCACACACCCAATGCATGACCCAGCCTGGAATCGAACCAGGCCCTTCTGCTGATACTCCTAGAAAAGAAATTGAAAGCAGACGCACACCGTGCGCGACTAGTTATTCCCTGTAAAAGCGTGCAAAAATTAGCGGCATGGCGAGATCAAAAGAGCAAGACATGGATACGGCCCCATGGCCCAGCCTGGAATCGAACCAGGTCCTCCCACTGAAAGAACATTTCCTTCCTCCAATTAAAGTGGATGAACACCGCGTGCTACTGGGCCTCTTGCTTGAATTTTCGTACTTGGATTCGAGCGATACTTCTATGGCCTTGTGAGTGAGAGGAAGCACGGATTCAAAACAGCTTCTACCAGGAAAGTTCGCGATTCCAGTCTGAGAGTCGGGTGGAAAATGGACATGGAAGATTGACGGTAATAACCCACCCCGGCCGTGTAGTACGCGAGTCGAGCCAGAAATTTTCTGGCTTGGACGAGTCGGAAGTAGATGCCGATTGTGCGAGGTGAAAGTGGACGTCTCGCGTGCTACTCCCTGGGTTTCTCCGGTTCTTGGGTTATTTCCCCAAAAATCATAGGCTTTTAAAGGCAGAGACAAGAGTGGGCAAGAGCTTGAACAAGTGGATCTGGTGGTAGAGGAAAAAGCTAGCCAGTCATGTGGGCGCGTATCGTGCGAACTTCGGTTGACGTATCTTCCCGACACGGATTCCGAAGGCACCAGAACTTCGAAGGCTGGCAAATCCAACCGAGCAAGGCACCCGACGTCGCGATCCACTGGATACCCGCGCAAAATGAATGGTTTGAGGAACAAGCGCCGCTGTCGGGTGAGTAGCACTGACTTGAATACTTGCATTCATCTCCGTTGCTCACTGGCCTCGAACCAGACGTCAACCTCAGCGTAATGAACCTTGACATGAACACGTACCGCTGAAACGAATAATCCGAAGGCAATGCGAAGGAGGAAAGGGATGCGGATCGCTGCCGCCAGCCAAGCTTCCAGTAATTAGGTCCTGGTGGTGGCGAAAAGAAACAAGCAAAGACGTTTAAGAGGCCCCGTCAGCCACTGCTCGCTCTCACTTCCGCCCGCCATGGGTCCCCCGATGTACACCGTTCTCCGCCGTCGTTCCCTGCGTCGTCCAGCTCTGACTTTGGTCGTTCTGTGCACCCTCGCATTCATGGCGCGCTTCATGAGCGACTTCGGTTTTGACGCCACCACCCGCGTCGCGTTCAAGCTCGCCGCGGGCTGCACCACCGACACAATCACAGCCTGGGCTACGCGCACCGTCAAGCACGCGGAGACGCCCAAGCCACAACCCCACCTGAAGGCGAAATCCGAAGAACCGCGCGCGCCGCCGCTGGGGCAGCACACGTACCGCGCCGACGGCCTGCTCGAGGTCAATCCCCTCGGCGCGCACCCCATCTTTGAGCTTGCCGAGCGCGCAGAGGCCGCCTGGGCCGCGAAGCTCGCCGCCGCCAGCACGTCCCTGCGCGCCGCCGCGACCGAGTATACGCGCCGCTACGCCCGCCTCCCGCCGCGCGGCTTCGATAAGTGGTGGGCGTATGCCACCGCGCATTCCGTGCCCCTTCCCGACGAGTACGACCAGATCGACCGCGACCTAGCCCACTTCTACGGCATGGACCCTGTGGACCTGCAGCGCATCCAGCGCGACTGGGAGGCGCATGCGGACTCGTATACGATTGGGAAGGATACGGACGACGAGGGGATCAGCATGCTCAATTCCACGCTGCCCGTGGACGAGGCTGTGCGGTTGGAGCTCTCGACGGGCGGGTTCCAGATCATCGAACTGCTCGTGGAAGTGGAACGCGATATCCCACCGTTTAGGGCGGTGTTCAGCCCGCATGATAATCCTAATCTGGTTACCGATGTAAGTTTATTCTCATGCGCATACATCGATTTTCTTCACGTTTCTGCCACCGAACTCCTTGGGTTAGCCACATTCTTCCTTTCCTGCTCACCCTGCGCGTCCATATATCCTTCGTGTCAGCTACCTCCCGCTTTTCCAACCTCCTTGCCCTCCCCGCCTCGCGTTTCTTGTCACCCCGCCCCTCCCTTCTAGTCAGCCACACCTTTGTTTTCCTCCTGCTATCCCTCCCCGTCTGTCATCTCGTCAGCCACTCCCCGTTTTCCTTCTCGCCATCCACTCTTTCTTATTTTAGTTTTCTCGGCAACCACTCCCCATCCCGTTTACTTTGCGCTAACATACAGGCCCACTTGTTTCCTTCCTGGTTTTTCCTTTCAGTACTCTCTTCACTCGTGCTTACTGTTTCCTTTTCTAGTACCAGCTGAAACAGCAGGCGCTAGAGGCGGCCGCGGCGGGGACGTGTACGTGCCCTTCGCTCTCTCAGTCTCTCCCCACTGCTCATCCGGCAACCCACCGCAGACATCGATATCGCCAACCCACCGCCGCCGAAGCACGGCTGGCTCGCGGCGTGCCCGCCCTTCTCGCCCGCCCAACTCGATGCCTTGCCTGTGCCCTTCGACGCCGGGAACCCCAACACCGCGCCGCCCTCCGTGCCCGGCTCTATCTCGGGGTGCGTCTCCTCTTCATCCATTCCCCAATGCTTATTCTCCCCCAGCCAACCCCCCGCCCCCAAGACGTTCATCTACGCCCACCGTGCAGCGATGGACCCGTGCCTGCACCCGGCGCACCTCGCCTCGCACGGCGCGTACCTCGCGCACGGCGCGGGCCCCGCGCCGCACCGGGTGCTCGTCCCGCAGTTCAGCTACAGCACGACGCCGCTGCACCACGATATCCGGCCCGCGCTGCCGCTTAACTGGGTGCGTCCAAGTTCACCTCCATCCCACCCTCCTCTCGCTCTTACGCGTGTACCTAGGTCTCCGACGACTTCCCGCAAGAGGGGCGGCCGCCGCCGCTAGGGCACGCGTGGGCGGAGCGCCGCGACGAGCGGCTGCAGTGGCGCGGGAGCAACACGGGCATCTGGCACGCGGGCGACGGCCGCTGGCGCGAGGCGCACCGCATCCGGCTCGCGGCGCTCGGAAACGGCATGGGCTCTGCGAATCTCAGCGTCCTGCCCGGCGGGGGCGAAATAAGCTCTACTGCGCATCAGGCGAGATCGAGGACCCCGGTGGGCGCGCCGCAGGAGGTACCGCGCGCGCGGTACGTGCCTGCGCTGCTCGACGTCGCGTTCGCGCAGGCGCCGGTGAATTGCGAGTCTGCACAGTGCGCGGTGCTACAAAGCCTGTTTGAGTTTCGGGCGCCGCATGACTTGAGGACGGCGGGGCGGTACAAGTATGTGCTTGATGTGCGTTTTCCTTAACTGTATGATGGTGATGGTGGTGGCTGACGCGCTTTTGTGATTAAAGGTGGACGGGAACGGGTGGTCGAGCCGCTTCAAGCGCCTGATGAACTCGGGATCGCTGATTTTCAAGGCGACGGCGTATCCGGAGTGGTATGTGGTTCTTTCTTTTCGTCCTCCCTTGAGTTTCTGGCTTACTAGTACTTACTCGCCCTCCCCAGGTTCACGGACCGCATCGCGCCATGGGTGCACTACATCCCGATCCAGAACTCGTATGTGGACCTGCTCGACGCGCTCGTGTTCTTCCGCGGGGACCCGGCGGGCGCGGGCGCGCACGATGATATGGCGCGGCGCATCGCCGCTGCGGGGCGCGAGTGGAGCCGGAGGTATTGGCGGAAGGAGGACTTGACGGCGTATATGTATCGGTGGGTGCTCTGAGCTTCGGAGCGCGCGCGAGAGGACTGACGCTGTCGGTGCAGGCTGTTCCTGGAGTACGCGCGCGTGATGAGCACGGATAGGGAGAGAATGTCGTTTGTGATATGGGAGGACGAAAGGGAGGACGAGGGGCGCGAGCGGGCGTTGTTGAAACGCTGGCGGTCGCGCGATGCAAGAGGAGAGGACGATGGGTAGAACAGGCAGATTCGCAAGACCGCGATTAGAGCAAGACTGAAGAAAAATCAGAGTGTACATCATGTCGTGTAGCCTACAGCTGTATAATTACGGGTCTCATTGGACGGGATGTAGAAGCCTTGGACTAGAGCCACGATTGCCAGCTCGCGATTGGCCTTGCTTGTTCGGCTGTCCGCATTTGGTAGTTGGCCCTCTTTTTGCAAGATGTCTGTCGATGTTTTCAACAAGCTACCCAGACGCCCTCGCGCTCCAAGCGGATTAGTCCCCAATGTCTGGCATTTTGATTTGCGATACATTCAAATCCAGCCCCCGAGCCACATGCTGTTTCTTCTCCAGCCAGAAAGCAGCTACGTCCACACGGAGCTGCTGCCCATCGGACGGCCTCACCACTTGGGATTCGCGTTCTTCCCAGATACCGCCAAAGAGGCAGCCCCCGAAATTGCGAAGGGCTTGATCCACGCGTTTGTGACTGGCATGGGTATCAGCAAGTTTGAAAGAAATCCCCCGCCTGCGTACGCGCCGTGGGCTTTTACCACCGACGATCGCAACCTGGCCAAAGAGGTCGGTGCGGAGCTGAAGCGGCTGGGGGTCAAAGCGCCCGAGCTGTGCGAGGTCAAGTTCGTACCGAAGCTCACGAATGACGCGCATACCGCGTTCTCGGAGGTGTTTCGAACGATGAAGATGGCCCTGAGGAACGGTGCCATTTTCACCGCTCCAAGCGGGATTTCGTTCACGTATTTCAAGCTGGCGCCGTGGGTGGAGAGGAAGACGGACGAGGACGAGGCCGCCATCGCTTATTGCGAGAGACTCTCGAGGGCTCGTCCGCTATTCAAGGATATTGACACGGGGAACTTTATGAAAGAGATCGAGGTCGCGATGGAGGTGCTCAGGCGGCGAAGGTCGGCAACTGTGCTTTCTGAAGCGGATGGTGGCGATCCGCAGGCTGCTATCGAATATTCTCTCAGGTTCGCAGAAGCCGTTCATTTCACATGTGGTATCCTGACTGAACCTTTAGACTCCAATTCGGAATTCAGTGCACCCCGAGTCGAGCGCTGTGCCGTCAGTATCTAATCAAAGTGATAACGAACGACAGGGCAGACGACGTCATGAAGAGTGTCGCGCATAGTCTTTTGATTGACTGGTTAGCAAATTTTTCCCGCTTCAATAGCTGACATTAGTAACGAAAACTCAGGTATGTGC